ACTCTGATTACTGCTAATGTGGCACAAAGCAGTAACGTTACTTTACACAAAGCTTGAATTACTCGAAAATTAAAATCATATTAATACAATGGTAAAATCATGACCATGCCACGTAGCCAACGCTATCAAAACAAACATGATAGGTTTAGATGCTAATGCACCCAGAAGGAAGAACACCTCATCTGAATCAAATTAGTCCTTTGACTGCTTTTAACACTTTGCATCTCAAAAATTCAAACTGATGTTAACCCTGTTTATGCTCTTTCTTTGTCCCACTTACTCTATGCAAAAGAACAGGACCTCTTCGGTCTGCCAGCCAACGTTTCAGACTTGAAGCTGCCAAGAGCACCTCTAAGGTGATAGACTGGGCTGATTTACAAAGCTGACTTTAAAAACACAGGTTAGAGAGGCTGGAATAACAAAAGTGCTGTTAGCAGAATGTCACAGATGGGATTAGTACAGTGTAGAGACACTACGCCGTGTCCCATGTGACAATGTGTAAAATCTTAGTTAATGCACCTATAAATGTTTGATTTCACTGATTCAAAAGAACCATCTACTGGTCTAAACTATGGCTCACAAAAAAGAGATTTCAAAAGACATGATTAAGAATTGTTGATTTGCATAAAGCAAAAAATGGTTACAAACACTCTCGAACAATTTAGCTAACCCAGAGTTAAACAAAATGTCTGTAAATGAAGACAATTTAGTGCTGTGGCTAATCTTGCTACAACTGGGCGCCCAGCTAAGATGATGCCCAGGGAAAAATAGGATGCTCAGTGAGGTAAAAAAGAAAGCCCAGAGTAACAGCTAAAACCTTAAAAGCATAATTGCAGCTGGTTAACATATCAGGACACCATGACATCACAGAGGAAGCAACTTACCTCCAAAAAAAAAAACAAAAAAAACAACTATTTTTTCTGGAATGATGAAACTAAGGTTGAACTATTTGGGAAGAACACACAGCACTACATATGGTGTAAAAGGGAACTGCAAACGAGTATGAAATGTCATCCCCGTAGTAAAATAGGGTGGAGGGAACATCATGATCTGGCTGCTTTGCTGTCTCTGGGTAGGAACAGCTTGCCATGATCAAGAGGAAAATGTAATTTCCAAGTTTTTCATGGTGGGCGTTCACCAACTGAAGCACAATAGAAAGTTTTGCAGAATAACCTTAAACATAGAAGTAAATCTACCACAAAATGACTTCAAACAAAGAAAATCCACCTTTAGGAGTGGACCAGTCAGCACCCAAACAACCCAAGAGAAATGCTATGAATTGAGCTCCAAAGAGCCAGTCACACCACACATTCTAAGAATATGACTGAGCTGAAGCAGTTCTGTCAGTGCATAAGGATGTTCCAAAATGTGTAAGGTCTAAAGCTCTTCTTTAAAATTCCTGCCACAAAATGAGGTTCAGCCTTTGAATTGTCATTGTTGCTGTTGTTTTACTCCCTTTATTTACAAGCTTGTAGCATAGTTACATCTTAACTAGGCCTGCCATTAAATGACTGGCATAAGACTACAGTATCATCAGCAAGAATGTTGATTTATTGGTGAGAAAATATAATTACATGACATTAAAATGGAAGTGGATCTGAAATCAGCTGCTGCAGTAGTACTCAGAACATCTGAGTTTGTGCCAGCAGTAACCACACACTATATGGCTATATTACTGAATCCAACAGTGGAAAGTTTATAAAAGTGGACAGTGAGAAGCAGGGTTGCATAAAACTGATAGTGTTATGCAGCATCACTTGTCACCATGGTAGCAGCAATAAACGTGCAGTGATTGAATTCTCAAATCCTGTACATGATATTAGACTGGACTGAAATGACTGGAGAAAAAAAGATTTAAAGGTATAGTCCAAAATTCTAATCCGTAATTCATTTCATCAAAATCAGTTACATTTTCCTCATGTTCTTCTTGCGGTCCTTCCAGTGTGTGCGCTTAGAATACCGTGCTTTTTGTGTGCTGGCTCTGTAAATGAGAAAAAAGGTTCTGGATCCTTATAGCCAATCAGCACAAGGAGCACTTTTGCTCATGCACAGCAGAGAGGGGACATGGGAGTGACAGAGCCGCTATAACTGGTATGCTAGAGTTCATACATTTACAGCATCACTGCACGGTCAAGAGAGAATAATGGCTGAAAAAATACCAATACCACTGCTTCAAGTTACAGCCTGCACAGTCAAACAACTGAAGGGAAGAAGGTCAAAAGAACGAAAAATACCTGTAAACATAGGTGTACTCTATATTATATTATATTATATCTGCTCTCCAAGTGTAACTCACTTCCAATTTTGTCATGCCATTTCTCTCATACGTTCCCAGATCTCAGCAGTCAGGCTGGTGTGTAAAATGTGTCATAACCAACTGCAATGATGATCAAAAGAACACAAATAAGTTGTAATGAATTGTAATTATTAAGTCTTTACATAAGAAATGTTTACATTATTTTGTTGCAGTGTGTATATTACATTCATTAGTCTAGAATGGGATTCAATATGGCAAACACTTATTTGAGTATCTTGGATCAGTCTCAGTAAAATGTTAGTAAGAGATTGTTCACATCACAGGCATCATCTTCTTAATATAAAATCTTAATGAAGCCTGCTGCAACAGCCAAGGCGAGTCTTTGGAGAAGGATGCATCACTTTTCAGACTTTTCACCAGGGATGTAGCTGTAGGGCCGCTCCACTATCCAGCATGAATCTTTGGCAATTAGGCAGAAAAATGAAGAGTGGATTTGGGTGGTGGGAGATGGGGGGTTTTATTCTATTATACCCCACAGAAGCAGGTGAAAGTTATTAACTGAGGACTTCTGCTTCCTGTAATGCTGCTCAGTGTGTTACGTGAATGCACACAGTAACATCTGGGAAAAGACGCTCTTTGATCAGTTAAATGTTGTGTGACGAGAACACTGGCTGGCAGTTTCATCTGAGTGTGTTAGGTGTTTAGAGCCCTGCTTTGAGATGTTGCAAATCTGGCTTGTAGTAGTCAGTAAACACATGCAGTCTGTGTGCACTCTGGCAGACACAAATGCATACTGCAGGTGCGGAGCTAAAACTGTGATCATGTTCAAGCCACAGTCAGCAACATGAGAAGGTTTGCATTGAAACACTGATAATGCTATCTGTTATGGATTATGGGGCCAGACTCAGTGGTTCCAGGACCCCTTGCTGTGTCGCAGGATTAATCTGAGTGGTTTCAAGATACTTATAATGGGAATTTTTACTTGTCTTTGCTTTTTTATTGTGAAATGCCCACTTTAGGTCACTAAACACTAATCAAATAAATCTAAGTAGGTAATATCTCAGACCTCAGACATATGCAACCTGTGACAATATGTCACAAGTATACAATACAAGTACTTGGATTCAAAGCCATGCTTTTACATTTTGACAAAAATGACCTTATTTGGTTTTGTGCAGAGAAATAAGTGAGCACATTGATATCACTCTAATAACTGTCTTTTGAATATGAAGCTGCAACCAGCCTATTTTCCAGGACGTCAGTGCACATGGCCGAGAAGTAGTCCAACACATAACCCTCCATACAATTGTTGTTTTTACAATGCTGTTGTGGTGCATATTAATCATAGCTGCTAAGTGAGCTTCATACATATTGGAAGGAAGATTTTGTTAGTTTTGGATGGAGCCATGTTTCCTGTGGCTTTACTAAGCTAAACTAGCTGACTAACTTCATATTTGCATTCAGAATGAAAGTGGTATCACTAAGTAAATAAGCATATTTCCCAGTACGATGAGTTACTTTTAAAAGGTCACAAACCTTGGGAACCACTGAAAGTGAAAAGACAGAACAAGGAGTAAAATACTGCCTTAAACTCAAAAGATAAACCATATGAAAAACATATTAGTATTTGACATCATTAGTGTGATTTGAATGGTTCTAGTGGTCAGTGTGGGACTTTCCACTGGTCCAGGCTGCACAGCTCACCAACAGGAGACTAAGGACCAAGGTCAGAGAAACTGGCACAGTTCTCTATTGTCTATTGTCCACCTCAGTGGTTATCACCATAATCCTTACGCTTATATTCTCTGATCTGTCATGTCACAACATAGTGTACACACACAAATACAATGATCAATATGAAAAAAGTGGTGATGAGAAACTTAAACAGGCATTTCACTATCAGATATCATCTATTCTGCTGGCCTTATCAAGAGCCCCTCTGCAGCTCCCCCCACCTCTCCAATGTCCATCAACTTCTTATTAGGGCTGGGTAGCTCCTTCATCTTGGGAGTGATAGCCTGTGTGATCTACACCGATGTAGCTGATAAGAGAAAACAGGAATTAACTTTAAATGAGGCATCATGAGCTGCCATGCAGCCCACAGGGACAGAGATACTGCAAGGCTGTATGAAGGCTAATTCAGTAGAAACTAGTAGGCCCCAGTTTGTGCCAGGTCACAGAGCAGAAATCCACAGACAATTATCATGAGCAAATATTGTAATGCTCTCTGGTGAAGTACAGTATTGCTGGCAACGATTAGCTGGGGAGGAAAAACAGCCTGGAGCTGATCAGAAACACGCTGTGGTGTTTTTAGTTCACCATTCAAGCAGGCAGGCCAGAGCTGGAAGGTGCTCGTCATCCGTTCACATGGCTGCTGATGACCGAGAGAAACAAATATTGTGTTTGTCTCTGCAAAGGTAACACAAAGACGTTGCAGCCAGTCGCACTGAGTCGCTGTCACTGGTGATAATCTTACAAATGTCGCTTAAATTTAGGTCAATTTCAAACTAATACCGTTTCCACGTCAGTCGCCCCCATCACAACAAAGACACACACGCACACAAGCCACACCACGCCTTGGAATTAACCGACACAAAATAGCAAAAACATCTGGCACACACTCCGCACAAAATACAACATCCAACAAGATTCCCAGCAGGATCTCATTTTTCAAGCATTTGTACAGATGGGAGGTGTGAGATGAGCGGGATGAGGAAACTGGGATGACATTGCGCCTTCTTACTGTAAAATAAATTCCCTCGGGGGATGGAGAGCCTCCTTTTTCCCTCTCGACTCCCCTCCTTTCCGACGTGAGAATTTCCCGAAATTCAGACCATGCAAATCAGGTAGTTAGTCCTTATATACCCTCCGAAGTATTTGATCCAGCGCGGTGTGAGAAAGGAGAAGGCAAGCTAGCATCCGAGACGTGAGAGCCAGCTGTGGGGAGGAGGAAATGAAGAAGGAAGGAGCGGCCGAGCCGGAGCACTGCGCACAGGAGATGAGGCAGGGAGAGCGGCAGAGGTGCTCTCTCTCCCTCTCTCTCCCCCCTTCTCTCTCTCGTTCACAATACAACATCCCCCGATCCCTGCCAGACAAACTGACAGACGGCTTGGGTACCAGTGTCAGCAGCGACACCTATCGGTGATGAGAGATACTACTGTAAGGGAGTGATTAATGGCACCAGCCGGAGGAGGAGAACACTGTCACTGTGGCTGCTACGTCGGGACTTCGTTTAACCTAAGTCACAAATAAAGTCCAACTAAAGCTTGTGGCTTTTTAAATTTATGTTTATTCTTATTTAGAAAGCAGTGGAAAAGATCTATAGGGATGTAACTAAGGTGCCATCAGACAGTCTCCACTGATTTGACTGTAAACACAGCAGCAGACATGTTACACCATCAGATTCCATGACCCAAATATGATTAGGCTCTTAATCAACATTTGTGACCCTGTAATATTTAGATAGAGGCTCACAAATGTTCATAGCAATGATGGCACAAGCTGTTGGTACACACATCACCTGACAATATTTGGGTGACAGCTTGGTCTTTTGCATGTAGTTATCCTCTATTTCCACATAATTTGTTCACAAAATTTGGTGCACTTAAATCACAAACCATATGTTTTTTAATTATATTACCAGGACACAATATAAATTAATTTGTACTGGAAACCGTATCTTTTAGCAGCAGTGTAAAAGTGGTGCCATGGTGTCGAAGTGGAAGGACCATAACATTTAATATCTCAGCAGACCGACCTTGACATTTGCATGTAACTTTTTAATGTGCTAGCTCATTTAAGACGACTAAACTTAAGCTAACTGGATAATGTTGGACCATAGGCTGACCTGGGATCTGGGTGGCTGTTCAGATGTCTGATGTCCTCGTCCTTAATTGTTCCTCTCCCCTCACTGTGTTAATTTCCTGAACATGCTGAAAACAGTGGATGTGATAGTGGATTTTAGGAGGAGTGCCCCCATCCTATCTCGGCTCACTATAATCAGCAGCAATGTTTCAGTCGTGGAGTCCTACAAGTTCCTGGGCTCCACAATCCCTCAGGACTTTTTTTTACTTTTGGTTTATTCTGCTTTTACAATTTTGTGCATATCAGGGGCCTTTGGGCTGGAGTCATATTCCTTGTATTTTTGATAACACTTGGCAATAAAGTTTATGCTTATGCTTAGAAAAGATCCAATGCAACAGAATGAATGTTATTCCAAACGTTTTACCCAAAATAATATTTTCAAATGTACAATGACTTCTTGGAAATCAACAACATTTTGATTAGTAAATGTAATTAAATTGCACATTTTTTTCTCAGTAACTGTACCTGATTATAATTACATGTATTTTGGAATTTAATTACCAAAGCTTATGCTGTACAGATTGTAAAGCCCCTTGAGGCAAATTTGTGATTTATGACATTAGACTATGCAAATAAAAATGATTTGACTTGATTAGCTATTTACATAGCTATCTAGCCTGCAAACTGAGGGTATTGTTCACCCTTTTCACTGATTGGATCTGTCAGCATTTGTAGATGGCTGTAGATAAGAAGACATTGGCTTGGAAGCTAATGGGACATTACTCAAAAGTCTGTAGCTCTCCTTGGCATTCTTTAGTCTGTCAGTGTAACAGTCAGGCTATGACAAATGGAGCAGTAACATTACTGCTTTATTCAAAAACAATTTCAGGAAAAAAAGATTTGATTAGCAATAAAGGTGTCCTCTGTACGCAGACCGATATTCAGTAGTGTGCTGCCTAGTATTGGATACTCTAACGGGGGAACAGAGGACATCAAAAAAGTGAAATGAAAAATAAAATGTCCAAGTATCCCAGCAGCCCTGTGAGTTGGTCATTTATCATATGTTAAATGTGCATCTTTCCTTTTCCTATGACATAATAAAAACATTTTTGATGACTCATCTTGAAAACGAGGAGGTGCATACAATTATCCAATCATACTCTGTGATTTGGGGTTCTACTATGTCCTACTTATCCTGTAAAACTGCATTTGACCATTAGCTACTGAGCTAGCAGACAGTGTTAGGGAGCAATACAATTACATGTAACTGTAATTTTAAATGACAAAATAAATGTTTTTGTAGTTACTTAGTTACTGATGAAAAAATATGTAATTAAATTACAGTTAATCAAAATGTTGGTGATTACATGGGGTTACATCTGAATATATTCTTTCTGGTAAAAATCTTAATAGCCAACAGTTTTCTGAAAAGAGGTCTAATTAGGCAAACACCATATAAACCAGGGTGAGTTGGATAGCCTTTTGTAGTGTGAATGAATGAAGAGGGCAACAGCCCTTATTCAGACAATAACTGTGGAGAAAAATAAGGTGTACCTTTAAAATGGGAGTTGCAGTAAAAGAAGATGAACAGGAACTACCAGGTTGGGCTTATACTGGTGTGATGATTATGGAGTTAGAGTTTGGGAGCTACTAGAAAGAGTTGGGGTAAATTTACCATCTCTGGCTGACTTGGGTTTAAATCCTACATATCTGCAGTAAGTTCAGGGGTTGTCTGTTGTTGACTAAAATTGTTAAAGTAATACATTAGGATTAGTTTTAATATTAGACTGAATTAAGAATTTAGTTAGTAGAAGATTGACACTATGTTTGTTGATTAGTTAACTTGTTTGTTTACTGTGTGTGCATATGATTATTCTATCATATTAAGAAAATGAATAATTAGGATTTAGTTTAGAGCATACATAAGTTTATATATTTTACTCTCACAGTTGTGTTTATGTTTATGTAGTTACATATCACCTTAAGTCTGCATTGAATCACTGGTCAGTATTTACTGTGTTAGCCAACTGGGGACTGTTTAACAGCAAGGGAGACTGATTCACTAAACACTGAGAACTCATTAGATTTACAGCTTTAGCAAAGAGGGTTCACAGTTGTTTTATGATCACCACCTGGCTGAAGAGGCCAGGGAATTTGGGGTCACTGGGACACTAGGGGTAAGAAACAGAGATTAGATCTGAGGCCAGGAAGAGAAAAGACAACTTTAAAAGACAGGGCCATATACAGACACACAGGCAAGATAGTTTAGTAGCCAAATGGAAAGCCATGTTTTATAGAGTGTAGTTAGTTAGTTGGAAACAAAGAGGTGAGTGTAGGAATTTTAGACAGAGTAGGATTTCCTCTCTCTATAGGAAGCTGCCTCTTCTCGTCCTGAAGACGAATTGAACGGTTTTGCTGTTGAGGTTAGGGCTTCAGATAGAGATGGAACCCAGAGCTCTGTAAATTGCTTTATTCGATGGTCTGTTTAGTTATGATAATAAATGTTTGAAAATTGATATTCGATTCCGATTATTCTTCATGAAGAACACGCTGCATTCTAACTCCTGAATCATCTGACAGAAGTGAGTATAAAAGTCCTTACATGACAGATGTTGCAATGAGTGCTGCGTACCTACAGCACTATGGCTGCCCCACACCCTTGGGCTGTCATTCCTGCCCTCTGGAAGCAGGACAAAGGGAACGGTTTTGTAGTGAATAGCAAATGCCATTATCAGAAAGCAAATGCACTGTACATTGTATCCAGAATTAAATATAACATCTCATTTTCGTACCTCTTTAACATATCCCATCCCACCATGTGTCCCCACTGAGACCAAGCCTAACCCCTTTGTTAAAAAAAAAGAAGATACAGACACACTTGCCAAATCAGGACAAAACCTTTACTACAGGGAACTAGAACACAATAAAAGGAAAGATAAGGAAAAAGTTTGTAACTCAGATGAACTGATATATCTGCTGATGTTCTCCGTCTCCATTTATTATCTCCCTCTCTTTCTCTCAGTTCCACTTTGTCTAACATGTCTTTGTTCAGTCAACTGTAAGCTGTTTCCAAATGCCACAGTCAGTGGCATCAATAGCAAAATAAATCTCACACATTGTTCTTGCATGCACTGACTGCTTCACAAGAAATGAGACTTTAGATGTTCAGATTATTTAGCCACATCACAGCCAAAATGTCATACATGATACAAAAGAAGCTATTTTATTTAACAAACCTTTTTTTTTTTTAAAAAAATCACAAAATATGAACATACTTATTTAGACCTTGTATGTATATTGCAAACATGAAATGCACGTGACCCTCTAAATTTGTCTACTTATTTAGTGGCTGGGGTCCGGGGTGCTCTCACTGGGGGGGGG